CAGTGAAGAATACAATCTTTTAAAAAATTCAAACATACTTTAAAAACTTCGTCCAGCTAGCTGAGGAAATGTTTGCTATATCATGTGCAAGGAAGGAGTTCTAATGCTCTTAACAGTGGTGTGACTTCATTGCCAGAGGGATGAAGGTTGCAGCTTGCATAGTGACTCTTGAATGTCCAGTACCTAAATCTTTTCACTTAGTATAACCTCATGGATGGTGACACAGAATAAATTTTCAGTCATCTGTATCTTTCTGTGCTTAATAAGATGAAATTGTGTATCACTCAGAGCACTTTCTGGAAGAGAGAAAAATAAAAATAAAAACTTGACCGGGTAATGGAGTGCCCAGATATTTGGTTAAATGTTATTTCTGGGTATGCCTGTGAGGGTGTAATGGAAGAGATTAGCATTTGAGTAAGACTGAGTAAAGCAGATTGCGCTCCCCCATAGGAGAGCCTGAATAGAACAAAAGATGGATGAAGGGAGAGCCACTCTCTCTGTCTGACTACTGAACCGGGACATGGGTCTTCTCCTGCCCTTGGACTGGAATTACACCACTGACTCTCCAGAGTCTCCAGGGGTTAAGGTTGGGGCTTAACTCTGTCCCCTAAGCTTGACCTTACCCTTGGGTTTCTCTCATTTCAGATTGAGGAGAAATCTTATCAATTATACAGTAAGCAGTTGAATATCCCAATTTGACATGTGATTGGAGACTGTAACCCAGATCTTTTTATATTTGGGCCTTTGACTCCCATTTTTGAGACATCAGCACCATTTTACTGATCTACCCATGGTTTAGTTATCTATTGCTACAAAAAAAAAAAACAAAAAAAAAACCACCCCAAAACTTAATGACTATGATTTACTATTTCTCACAAGTCTGTGGGTTAGCTCAGCAGTTCTCCTGCTGGTTTTCCCTGAGCTCATTCATGAGGGTACATTTAGCTAGAGGGTCTTCTGGGAACAGGGCCCCGCTGCCATGGCTGAGTAGCTGGGCCTTCCTGTCTATATCATTTTATATTCTGGGCTTCTTCATTGCATTGTAGTCTAAGGGCAGCTTTGAGAGGGCAAATACCCATGCATAAATGCTATCAAGACTTTTTTTTTTGCCAAAGCAAGTGACATGGCCAAGCCCATATTCTTTATGGGAAAAGATTACACAAATGGTGGCTACCAAGAAGAGTGATTTACTGTGAAACATTATATAATAATCTATCCCAGCTAATTTTGTGGCTGTCACTTTTTGGTCTGACTAAGTTTTAAATGGAATATATGTCTGTGCCAAGTGATATATATCTATGTATATTGTGAAGTTCATATATTATTTTGCACATAAGGGATCTTTAATAAATATCAAATCAATGAATTAATAAAACAAAAATTATCAATGACATGAATTTGCAAATAATGTCATTAATAACTGTAGGCTGAGGTTTCTCAACAAAGTCTTTAACATAAAAATTATAGCTCACCCTGACCAGTTTGGCTCAGCAGTTAGATTGTCGGCCTGCGGACCAAAGAGTCATGGGTTCGATTCTGGTCAAGGGCATTGGTTCTGGGGTTCTAGTTTGGTCCCCAGCCTTGGCAACCAGTCGATGTGTCTCTCTCACATCATTTCCCTCTCTTTCTCTCCTTCTCACTCTGACTGAAGATAAATGAAAAAATATCCTCAGGTGAGGATTTAAAAAAAAAAAAAAGAAATTATAACTCTTTGTAGAATACAGATTTTTGAAATAGATGAATTACATTTTTTATTTTCTCCCATTTGCCCCACTATGCCCAATATAGTGTCTAATACAGTCCCTTGATACATACTGGCTGATGGAATAAATAAAAGTACACTTGGAATGTTCCTATTTCTTTGATAAACAACATGCAGTAAGCTAAAATGAGACCCTTTTCTTGCCAAAATTCTTAAATTAGAGGCTGCTTTCTGCTACAAATAACAAACTCCAACTTAATTTCCCTAAGCAATAAGAAAATGTATTGGTCTATAACTTTAGTACCTTTATTTTCTTCTATGTAATTTATTATTTTAGGTCTTGGGGCTATATTGAGTTAATTTTTGTACATTGAAACAAACTGTAGTCTAGTTTCATTCTTTTTGATATGGCTTTCCAATTTTCCCAGCACCATTTATTGAAGAAGCTTTCTTGTCTCTATTGTATGTTTTTGGCTCCTTTGTCAAAAATTATTTGCCCATATGCATATAGGTTTATTGCTGGGCTCTCAATTCTGTTCCATTAGTCTGTGTGTCTGCTTTTCTGCCAATATCATGCTATTTTGATTATTATCATGTTTTTAGTATAATTTGAAGTCAGGTAGTGTGATATCTCTGGCTTCATTCCTTTTTTCTCAGGATTGCTTTGACTATTTGGGGTCTTTTTTGGTTTCATACAAATCTGATGATTTTCTGTTCTATTTCTTTAAAAAGTGTCATTGGGATTTTGATGGGGATTGCATTAAAACTGTATATTCTTTGGGTAATATGGGCATTTTAACTATGTTGATTCTTCCAATTCATAAACAGAATATCTTTTCATTTCATTGTGTCTTTTTCAATCTCTTTTAATAATGCTTAGAGAAGATTTTATGAATTTGACCCCAAAGGCTAGGGAAGTAAAGGCCAAAATAAATCAAACTAAAAAGTTTCTGTACAGAAAAACAAAACAAAACAAAACAAACTGCCAGCAACAACAACAAAAAAGGGCAACGGGAGAAGATACAGTATTTGCAAATTTGCAAATAACAGCTTTGGCAAAGGGCTGATACCCAAAATATATAAAGAACTCTTACAAGTTAACACCAAACAAACAATCCAATTAAAAAATGCGCAGAGGGCCCTGGCCAGTGTGGCTCAGTTGGTTGAGCATTATCCCATGCACCAAAAGGTTGTTGGTTAAATTCCCCAATCAGGGCACATGCCCAAGTTGTGTGCTCCCTGTAGGGGGCATGCAGGAGGCAGCCTATCAGTGTCTCACTGTCACATCAATGTTTCTCTCTCTTTTTCTAAAAGTTAATAAAATAATGTTTTATAAAAAAACAGGCAGAGGACCTGAACAGACATTTCTCTCAAGAAGACATAAAGATGGTCAAAAGATATATGAAAAGATGCTCAACTTCACTAGCTATTAGAGAAATACAAATCCAAACTACAGTGAGTTACCACTTCACACCTGTTACAGTGGTTATTATAAAAAAGACAAGTCGTAACAAGTGTTAGAGAGGGTGTGGAGAAAAAAGGAATCTTCATTCATTCACTGCTGGTGGGAATGTAAATGGGTACAGCCACTATGGAAAACAGTATGGAGATTCAAGCCTAACAAATATCTCTTTTTGTAAATCTTTTATCCATTCTGTCTATGCTTGACTCATATGGTGAATTATTCAACAAATATGTGTTTTGTGCCTACTCTGTGTCATGTATTGTTTAAGAGTTTGGAATATATGTATCAGTGAACAAAACAAAGAAAGCCCTGAGAGAGCATTGACTCTGCAAGTGAATTTTACCAATCCTTGACCTTGTCTGCATCTTAGTCCTACATTTGTGCACGAACAGAAACACTGTAATGGAAAGCTTACAGATTCTCAGCTGCAAGACACTGGAAAACAAATGGATACAGGTCCCTCGTTTATCCCTTGTTTATCGCGGCCAATCCGTTCCAGACTCTAGTGATTGCACCTGGCAGTTGAAGGCTTCCTGGGGTGCTCGAATACATAGGCCTACAGTCCATATGTACAGTAATTTTAATTTTAATTGTAATACAGGGGTGTATAATCGACTCAGACAACTGAGCATGCGCTGTATCATTTTCACTGTCTCGATCAACTTTTTAATGAATATATTTGAAAAAACCATGATAGAGTGAAGCCCCCAACATTGAAGCGCGAAGTGGTGAGGGATGACTGTATATTATTCATAAGTGCTGTAGAACCAAGGACAATTAAGAGGAGGGTACCAATTAAATCTACTCCTTAACCTTAATTTCAGCAATGCACACCAGTAGACACTGCTTTCATTTTTTAAAAAGGAGTTTTATATGTACATGCAGCATTCTGAGGTTGCAGCTTCCTTTCTAGCTGCAAATCTCCAGGAGGCTCCCCAACTTGGGACAATGAGCCCCGCCTATATCCACCACCTTGGTGCTTCTTTTCTTTAGTAAGCTGGGGGCTTCTGCTAGGAGGTTCCACCTGTGGGCAGCATTTTCGCTGTAGAGGCTGGTCTGGGCTCAAGGACAATTTTCTACCGAAACTGGGCATTTTTGAAAGGGACTAAGGGAAGCTTTTATGTCTCCCTCCTACAAGCCCAGCTTCTACTGAAGTGGAAGCTAGGCTGGAAATAAAGTCCACACCGATTTTCTGAGAAAACACATTACTATGTAAAAACAAACAAACAAACAAACAAACAAGCAACCAGTAGTAATTGTGCTCTGGGAAATGTTTTTACTTTACAAATACTCTGTGGCTCTGAAGTAACAGCACGATTACATTTCTCACAGGATCATTGGTACAATTTCCGGATTCCTCAGGGAGAGGAACATGGGGATTTTACTCCTGGAAAGAAAGGCAAATTGGTCCCGAAGGTACACTTCATTTAAACACGATTCAAAATAAGTTAAAACAGACGATAACCCAACAAAGAAAAGCCTGTCAATTTAGCTAAAACATGAAGATATACAGAAAACTATGGGAGCGTAAAAGAGTACTTCAAAAATAACTAACTTGGACTGTTTTTACAATTTCCCAATGGCTCGCTCCCTCGTTTCAAAGTGGGGAAAAGGTGAAAAGGAACTGAAAGGAAGGAAACAAAAATAGAAGCATGTAGGAAAATGTAAACATTACAAAGAAATGTAACGGGAGAGTGGAGAAAGTGGACAGCTTCAGTGTCACTCTCTCGGACACTCTCCTGTCCGTTATGATCTAGATTGACCCCGGCCGGCCTCGTGTCCCTCGGAGGCTAGGCCTCGACGACAGATGAGCCGGCTATGGCCACGGACCACTTAGAATGCGCTTTCGCAGGAGCAGGGCCTGGGCCGTGGGCGCGGCGGCGGTGGGCGCAAGTGGCCCTTCTGTGGCTGCTCCCGCCGGGCATGGTGATAATGGGGGTGGGGCCATCGCTGGCGGTGGAGCGCCTGGTGGCCATGGGCCCCTTCCTGGTCCTCCGAGATTCCTTTCTGCGCGCAGCAGATAGTGCCCAGGTGCTTCCGCAGCCGCCTCCGGAGGTGGCAGTCGCCCGCCTGGAAGAAGAGGTAGACGAAGGGGTTGAGGGCGCTGTTAGCTACCCCTACGAGGCGCAGCGCCACCGCCAGGTCCTCGGTTTCCCACTCTCCCACCGGTCCGGACGACCACGCAGCTGCCAGCCGGGCAGCAAAGTAGGGCAGTTCGAAGCCCACGAAGAGCAGCGCGAGGACCAGGCTCATCTTTAGGCTCTGTACTTTGGCGCGCGGTAGCGCGCTGTGGGCGGGGGCTCGGTCAGGACTCGCCGACCTGGGGGCCGCAGCAGATGGGGCCGGGGGCGGGCGCTGCCACCAGGCGCCGATCAGGCGGCTGCAAGCGACGCCCAGAACCGCGACCGGCGCCACGAATCCCGCGGCGACTTCATAAAGCGCGTAGACCTGCAGGTGCCACCGCGGCAGGGGCGCGAAGATGCCGCGGCAGCGATGCTCCCCGGACCAGGAGCGGGCGGCCAGGGGCGCGGTCGGTGGCGCGGAGGGGGCTCCCCCGCGCACCACGAAGGCCGAGGGTAGCGCCAGCAGCAGCGCCAGCAGCCAGCCCAGGCCGGCGAGGGCGCGCGCGGGCAGCGGCGGGCCCTGCGGACGGCTCACGGCGCGCTGGCGCTCGAGGGCAATGAGCGCCACCAGGTGGGCCGAGGCACCCCGGCCGGATACCTGCAACAGCTGCACGAAGCGGCACTCCTGGTCGCCGGCTGCCCGACGCGGTTCGCCCAGCAACTGCCAGGCCAACTGCGACAGCGCGGTGCCCCCGCACGCGTACAGGTCGGCCAGGGCCAGTTGCACCAGCAGGAAGTCCATCTTGCGACGCTTGGGACCCGCCCAGGGCCCGCCGCCACCACACAGGCGGCACAGTACCTTGGCGTTACCAGCCACGGACACCACCAGGATGACCCCCAGGTAGACCAGGCGGCTGGGCGGCCCGGGCGGCGGCGACGGCGACTGTGACGGCGGTGGCCCCGGAGCCGGGACTTGATGTCCGGAAGTCAGGTTGGGACCCCAGCCCAGCGAGATGGGTACAGAGAGGTTGGGCTCCGGCGACAGAGTTGAGAGGCTGAAGGGATACTCCATCCTTACCCTGGAGGAAGAGTAGGTACCGAAGACTGTAGGCAGGACGCGGGAAACCCAGGTGGAGGCGAGGCTGCGCCGGGTGCGATGCCGGGTCTGTCGTTCCCAAAGTTAGTTGAAAACCCACATACACAGAGAGGGAGCTGGATTCGGGTATATTTGCGATCGGTTGCTTATAGGTTGTTCTCGTCACTTGTCACTGAATGTGGGTTGTACATTCGAGGAACACACATGATGCTATTCTCCACCTTCTCCATGTCTCCCCTCCCAATCCCTTTTCCCTTCCAACCTTTGCCAAGGCCCCCATGCTACCCTCGCAGGAGCCGCGGACCAGGGGGCTCTGGAACTTCCCCTGTTCGCTATTTACCAGTAGAGCACATCTGAGCAGGTCATTTTGCCGAGGCCCTTGTAAAGGCTTATGTTAACCCAGGACCAATATACAAAAGATGAAATTCCTGACTGAGATTGTACCCCTCAAAATGGTTTCATGATTGCCAGTGGGGAAAAAAATAAACTAGTTCTAATTTTTAAAAAAGGTTTGAGATGCCATGGATCTGTACTAGCAGGAGAAAAACAGAAACAAGAAACCTAACAGCATTTTGAGCAAAGAGGAGCCCAATTAGAAGGATCTTTGATAAAGATATGTCTTTCTCTGGCCAACAATGAGAGGATTTACTTAGACTAAAGTCAGTAATGTTGTTTGACAATTAGGAGTTGCAGTGGTTTGCAGATAATTTCAAATACTACAAGCAGCAAAAGATCACAGCTGCTCTCTCAGTGATGTAAAATTCATTAGTCTGAAGAGGGCATCAGTAGGTTTTATGCAAATGGTAGTACATTTATTACTTTTCCCCTAATATTTTCATCCAGTGATGATGTGTCATCAGGCTTCTCATTCTCTTGATCCTGTTTTCCAGCAGATGGGAGGTTGCTAGGAGGGACTACGCCTCCAATAAGCTTAGAGAAACGGTGACTAAGAAAATAATAAGGTGGCCAATTTTTAAAAAAGAAATCCAAGTTACAGGAAATGGTTTGGATTAAATGCTGCCTCTTATTTTAGCCCTCCATCCTCACAAACAAATTTTAGTTTTCCTGTTGGAAGCATCAATTTGTCTTTTGTGCACCCTTCTGTATTAGTCACCCTGAAAGTAGAATTCCTGCATTCCTGATCTGGGAGTCTGTTGGGTATTTCAAGATGCATGGAATAGGAGTGCTTGGTGGGTACAGATGACAATATTGCCCATTGCTGTGGTAATCCCATTTCCTGAGCTATTGTCCTTTGGTCACATTCTCTTATCATTTTCATGATATTGTTAGTGCCTGGCACTAGGCCTGACACAGGGTAGTTATCAGTAAATAGGTTTTGAGTTGATAAGCTAATGGATGTGATGCATTTCAGATAACTTTGAGCAAACATTCCTGCCTTGACTATAACTCCATCCCTTAAGGAAAAATGCCTTTTATACCTACACCAGTATTCTCCAGAGAAGCCCAAGGGAGCTCTGGAAAGGTAGAATGATAGCCTTGGGAAATCAAACTCCTGGCTTAATTTTCACATTTTCCCCTCAGAAGGTTTCGCCCAGGGCCTTTTTCTGTGTAACATACTTCACCCCAGCTTATGATCTGCTTCTTCCAGGGAGCTCTCTGTGAGCAATACCCATAATTCAATGATTCTCCTAGCCAATATCAGTTTAATGTTTTTAAAGATATTTCTGTAATTTGTTTCAAATTTACTGAAATGTTCTCATAAAACAAGACTCTACTAGTGAAATTATATTTCATAGAACTTTACTAAGACTTGATAAAACATTAATTAAAAAATTATCAAAATAATATATGCACATTATTTTGAAAGTCAAATGGAACCGAAGGCTATCTACACTCCTTCCCTTATTCTTCTAGAGGGGACCAGTTGGATTCTGTGTGCTGATTGTTCTGGCATGTACTTCATTCCATGATTCTAAATAGTAAATGTGTCATGCTTTTTACTGATTAAATAATTTTAGATATTATTTAATACCTTCTTATTAGATAAGGCTAAAGATTTAGCTCTCACACCTTTATCCCTACTGTTTCTCTCTTTATATACTATTAATACCATAATGTTGTAATTTCAGGTTACATCTATATTCAGTGTTTACATTATTATGAAATGAAAATATTACTAGCTGAAAGTTGTAGTGTATCATTTTCTTTTACTTTTTGTTGAACTTAATAATTGCTTTTCTTAATTTTCAGTTACCACACCTAATTCTTCCTGTACCTTTAAATAGTCCCTCAGTACAATTTGCACAAAGTCAGTTTCTTAACATAATATAGCAATTCCAATTTTTTTCTTGGAAACCTTATCGGAAACCTCCATTTTCCTTTATGCTGGTTTCTTACCATTTCCTTCCTGTGTGGGCTGCTGTATATTGTCCTGGAACATCCATTTGTTGTCATTAAAACTCTCTGCCTTTCTATTGGTTTGCAGTTCCTGTTTCTTGAATCTCTGATTTTTTTCTTGGTTTTTCCTCTTTTGGTAGTATACATTATCCAATATATAAAAAGATTGTACAAAGGCTGAGAACATAGCAACGAGAGCCCTCATTGTGCCTATTACTTGTAGATTCAGTCTGGACAGAGTGCCCTCTAGGCCAGGTGTACCATCCAGCTGTGTCATCCAGGCGTCTTCCTTCACCATCATCCTAGAGATCCCTTTTCCTATCTCATGCTGATTTTCCTATTTTATGGTTCCCTCCTTCCCTCCCTCCCTTCCTTCCTTGGTTTATTTCCTTGTTTGGGTAGAAAACATCCTTCAGTGATGCTTCTTGAGAAAGGGTAAATTTTGGGACCTTGCATGTCTGAAAATTTATTTTACCCTCATGTTTCACTGATGAGTTCGCTAGGTTTAGAATTCAATACTGGAAACAGTTTCCTTCTGAATTTCGATGGCATTGCTCCATTGTCTTCTGGCTTCTAAGTGTTTGTGTTGAGAAGACTAAGGCCATTCTGATTCCTTATTTAGATGTAGTCATTGTTGTTGTTTTTTCTGTTCTAGCAGCTTATTGATTCTTCTTCTTGTCTCTGACAAATTTCACAGAGATGTGGTTGGCTATGCATTTATTTTCATCCATTGTGCTAGGCACAATCAAGGATCATGAGTTATACTGCATTGTAGTATTTCACTACTGGCCTTTAATCTAGAACAGTTTCTTAGCTTTTTTCCTTTCATGACACTGATGGATCTGAAGGGTCCATGGAACATATTTTGTAGACTGTCTCTAAAGTTGTGTTTGTTTCCACATAATTAAATTTGGATTGGACTTTTTGAGCAGAAATACTGCATAGGTGATACTGCATAGGTGTAATCATTTCAGGGCACAGAATGCTAGTTTGTCTCAATATTGGTGATGTTTTAAGTGTGACATATATGTTTAAAAAATTAAACATTTATTTTATTATACAAATAATACACATTAATTGAAAAAATTAGATAATACAGATTAGGAACAAAAACCACTTAACATACAATCCAGAGATAATTTTAATACTCAAGTTATATATCCTTCAGACTATCATAACTAGATCTATATATTTACAGAAATACATCATACTACATGCAATGTTTTGTTTCCTGCTTTTTTCCCACTTAAGATTATATTTGGACAGCTTTCCATGTTTTTCAGTAAAAAAATGTGATACAATTATCTGTTTAATGTGAAAGGAATTACAGTAATCTCCTAATTTGGACAGGGGCTTTCCAGTTTTTACTTTATAACTAATTTTGTGAAGACCACCTCTTCACATATATTCTTCCATGCTCATTCAGTTATTCCCTTAAAATAAAATCCTAGAAATGGAATTGCTAGGGAAGAGCACATGCATTTTTAAAGCATTTTAATACACGGTACACAATGTATGTGTGTTTTCCCTATGGTCCCAACAATAATGAGCCTCATCATTGTGGATTTTTTTCATTCTCTTACATGAAAAAATAGTGTTTGTTATTTCTTCATTTTTAAATTGAGAAGCTTTTAAAAATGCTTGCAGGTGAGTCAGGTATCGCTAGGTTTTAAACATACTCAGGTGATTCCAATTTGCAGCAAAGTTGTGAACCACTGTTGCAGACTGGCAGCAAATTATGGCCCACAGGTCGAATCTTGTGTTTTTGTAAACGAAGTTTCCTGGGTGCACAGCCAAGCTCAAGTGTTTACTGTTTATTGTCTGTTGCTGCTTTCATGCTCCTAGGGCAGGGCTGAGTAGTTGTCAAAGAAACCATATGGCTCACAAAGCTTAAAATAGTATCTGGCCTTTTCCACAGAAAAAGATAAAACAAAGAGGAATAGAGAGAGTCCCTTTGTCAACTCTCCTGTGCATGCTTTTGCTAGAATTTACTGTTTCTAGAAGGTTTTGCTTTATTGGGAAGGAGTAGCCTTCCATTTCACCCCCTGCCCTGCCATGACCTAATGTGTTAGCTTTCTCCTCCAGTGTGATATCTGAAAAATGCTAATTCTAACTCCAATTAATTCAACAACTACTAAGCTTCTACTACGTGTCAGGCACTTGGGATACTCGAGGAAACAAAAAGGACAAAAGGCCATGCCTGTATGGAGCTTTCATCCCAGTGGGGTAGGGGTTTGGGAGACCCTATAAACAAATTAAATGTGTAAAACATACACTGAATTGGGTGGTAATGTTTTCTGTGGAGAAAAAGAAAACCGGGATGCCCTTGCGAGAAGGTAGAATTTGAGCAATGACCCGTGGAGGTAAGAAAGTGAGCCACGTGGAAAGAGGGAAGAACTGTATCCCAGGCCGAAAGCACTGCCAAGCACACAGGTCTTGAGGTGGTGCTTGGCTGGTTGCCAGAGAACAGGGGTCAGTGTGGCTGGAACAGAGGGAACAAAGTGGCAGCAGGTGTGGTCTGAGAGAGAACATTGGGCAGATCATTTAGGGCCTTGAAGGCCATTGTGATGGTTTTGGCTTTTTTTTTTTTTTTGATGTTTCATTCAATATGATTTTAT